TGAGCCCTCAATGGGTACATCATCATCATCATACAAAGTTCGGCAGAGGTCTAACGCCTGTGTTAGGTGTTGAGGACGTGCTTGCCATGTACAATATAACTGTTTAGCCGCAGCAGTCCAAGGAATAGAGTTCTAAAAGAACTTGCATGCAACAATCTCTGATGCCAAACTATCAAGTTTGGGCAGAGAGATGGCAACAAGCTCACGAATCTCAGCGGCATGAAGATCAATATTAGCATTTGCTTTACCAGGTTGAAAAGTTAAAGCAATAAGCTTTTGAAAAGCTTTGCGCTCAGTGGCGCCATATACCAACTGTAGCTTCTCTATGATCATTCTCTCAGCTTCCTCATCTGTAACACCAGGAGGAAAGATCATACGAGATATAAGCTTATAAGCCGCACCAGTCAGATGCATCAATAACTTACGACGGCGCTCCGCCGGTGACCATGAGAGCATGCTACAGAAGCTTCTATAGCGGTTCAACCATTCTTCAATATCAATACCTCCAGGAGTTTTCCCAGAGTAGTATTGTAACTTATTTTCAGAGATAACGTTGACATCAGAAGTCCCTCCTGAAGCCAAACGTATATAGGAAATGTTGGAACCAGCCAAGGCTTGCTCAGAAGTTTGTTCGACCCGTACATTTGACGAACCAGGTATCGGTAGAGTAATAGCTGCCTGTTGCTGTTGAGTAGCCTGTTGCTGTTGAGTAGCCTGTTGCTGTTGAGTAGCCCCCTCAGGTGGTGTAGTGGTTAGATTCGCCTGGGGCCTTGGAGTGGCTGGAATATCCAAAGAGTTGGTTGGTCCTCGGCGAGGGGATCTCCGTGAGGGGCGACCAATACCACTTGTAGAACTTGCGGTAGCTGGTGTAGTAGGGGCAATGACATTTTCATGCCCTTCTCGCACTGGAGCTGTAGCAGGTGTAAGTGAAGTCGCTGGTAGAGTCTCCTGGGTCTGGGCACCATGTGGTTGTCTCATGACGTGATGTGTCTCTGAACTCGACATAAAGAGAGGAGAGGGAGAGAGAGAGGCAAGTGGAACCACCGTATAGCTAATGAGATGCACGCATACACATGTGCGCGACTGCGAAGCTGTCTCCTTCATAGACTACACAGACTACAGACACTGATAAATTTGCAGACTGATGGAAGGTTTTAACTGTAGTATATGGATTGCGGCGTTTCGCGATGGTGAAACTCCTGACGATAGCCCTACGGGCCCTCTCCGTTAGAGCATGTGGAGGGCCAGTAGTACGAACATCACCAGAGGTACCAGTACCAGCCGACAGGCGGATAGGTTTCCCACGGAGGATACGACTCACAGCGGATTGGCTCCTACCGACTAAGTGAGCAATCTGGCGTGTTGAGTGACCTTTCCTTGCTGCCCGGACTATTTTTTGTCTATCGGATTCACTCAGGAAAAAGCTGGAATTCATCCGCAATCTTCCCCCAGCTGGAGCGCAAATTTGACAGCAACGTGGGATTCCGAGAAATCGTGCGGGCTACAGTAGTGCGATTTGTGGCGCAGCGACGACAGGTATTGTGCGATATAGACATTGAGGGGGGGGGG